ATGTCTCGTGTCTATGTGAGTGTGACGCGGCCATCCATCACATGTACAATATGTCAGTGAGTGATGACATCACATCACAATCCCAAAGCCTGCTCTTCTACTGCCTGATGGGCCTGCTGATCTGTGTTGTGTTGGTGGTTTGTTGTGTTGGATTTGATCCCACTGTGTGGGATCACTCAATTCAGGTGTTCTGTGTGTGTGTGTGTGTGTGTGTGTGTGTGTGTGTGTGTGTGTGTGTGTGTGGGCTGGGCTGGGCTGGGCTGCCTGCTATCACTGCATTTTATCTCCCCCCATTGCCTGGGGAATTAAAACCTGGGATCTGTCAGAGTGTGGAGCCATCATCCTCCACTCACTGCAACTGTCACCCTGCCATCCACAGGTACAGTCCTTCCGTGACACTGATTTTGTCTTTAACATTGGTGCTGGTGGCATATTATGGCAGTTGTTTTTGCAAATGAAAAGAAATTTAGCAATTTCATGTTTTGTTGATTTCATATTTTCTACCGTTTGAAATTTTTTTTATTTATCTTTTTTTGGGGGGGTGCAAATAGCTGGTCTTGCCTAGGGCAAAAAATAGTCTATCACCGGCCCTGTCCAGTGACAGCATGCTTTATGCCACTTCATCCGATGCTTTGCATTGCACTTGGTGATGTAAGGCTTGGATGCAGCTGCCCGGCCATGGAAACCCATTGCATGAAGCTCTCTACACATTGTTGTGCTAATTTGAAGGCCACACGAAGTTTGGAGGTCTTTAGCTATTGACTCGGCAGACAGTTGCCGATTTCTGCGCACTGTGCGCTTCAGCATACACCGACCCTGCTCTCTTTCACTTTACGTGGCCTACCACTTGGTGGCTGAGTTGCTGTTGTTCCCAGTTGCTTCCACGTTGTTATAATACCACTAACAGCTGTCAGTGGAATATTTAGCAGCAAGGAAATTTCATGGATGGACTTATTGCACAGGTTTCAACCTATCATGGTGCCATGCTCGAATTCACTGAGCTTCTGAGAGCGACCCATTGTTTCACAAATCTTTGTAGAAGCAGTCTGCTTGCCTAAGTGCTTGATTTTTTATACCTGTGACCATTGAGGTGATTGGAACACCTGAATCCAATGATTTGGAGGGGTGTCTCAATACTTTTGGCAATATAGTGTGTGTGTGTGTGTATGTGTATATATTATTATTATACAGTATTTATAAAGCGCCAATAGTTCGCTCAGCGCTGTACATTACAAAGGGGGACAGAACATGTGACAGAACAATACCAATACAATGCAAAACATGAGGGGATTGAGGGCCCTGCTCTTTCGAGCTTACAATCTAGGAGATATATATATATATATATATATATATATATATATACACAGTCAGGTCCATAAATATTGGGACATCCACACAATTCTAATATTTTTGGCTCTATACACCACCGCAATGGATTTGAAATGAAAGGAACAAGATGTGCTTTAACTGCAGACTGTCAGCTTTAATTTGAGGGTATTTACATCTAAATCAGGTGAACGGTGTGTGAATTACAACAGTTTGCATATGTGCCTCCCACTTGTTAAGGGACCAAAAATAATGGGACAGAATAATGATCATAAATCAAACTTTCACTTTTTAATACTTGGTTGCAAATCCTTTGCAGTCAATTACAGCCTGAAGTCTGGAACGCATAGACATCACCAGACGCTGGGTTTCATCCCTGGTGATGCTCTGCCAGGCCTCTACTGCAACTATCTTCAGTTCCTGCTTTGTTCTTGGAGCATTTTCCCTTCAGTTTTGTCTTCAGCAAGTGAAATGCATGCTCAATCAGATTCAGGTCAGGTGATTGACTTGGCCATTGCATAACATTCCACTTCTTTCCCTTATAAAAACTCTTTGGTTGCTTTTGCAGTATGCTTTGGGTCATTGTCCATCTGCACTGCGAAGCAGCGTCCAATGAGTTCTGAAGCATTTGGCTGAATATGAGCAGATAATATTGCCCGAAACACTTCAGAATTCATCCTGCTGCTTTTGTCAGCAGTCACATCATCAATAAATACAAGAGAACCAGTTCCACTGGCAGCCATACATGCCCACGCCATGACACTACCACCACCATGCTTCACTGATGAGGTGGTATGCTTAGGATCATGAGCAGTTCCTTTCCTTCTCCATACTCTTCTCTTCCCATCACTCTGGTACAAGTTGATCTTGGTCTCATCTGTCCATAGGATGTTGTTCCAGAACTGTAAAGGCTATTTTAGATGTTGTTTGGCAAACTCTAATCTGGCCTTCCTGTTTTTGAGCTCACCAATGGTTTACATCTTGTGGTGAACCCTCTGTATTCACTCTGGTGAAGTCTTCTCTTGATTGTTGACTTTGACACACATGCACCTACCTCCTGGAGAGTGTTCTTGATCTGGCCAACTGTTGTGAAGGGTGTTTTCTTCACCAGGGAAAGAATTCTTCGGTCATCCACCACAGTTGTTTTCCGTGGTCTTCCGGGTCTTTTGGTGTGGCTAAGCTCACCAGTGCGTTCCTTCTTTTTAAGAATGTTCCAAACAGTTGTTTTGGCCACGCCTAATGTTTTTGCTATCTCTCTGATGGGTTTGTTTTGTTTTTTTCAGCCTAATGATGGCTTGCTTCACTGATAGTGACAGCTCTTTGGATCTCATCTTGAGAGTTGACAGCAACAGATTCCTAATGCAAATAGCACACTTGAAATGAACTCTGGACCTTTTATCTGCTCATTATAATTGGGATAATGAGGGAATAACACACACCTGGCCATGGAACAGCTGAGAAGCCAATTGTCCCATTACTTTTTGTCCCTTAACAAGTGGGAGGCACATATGCAAACTGTTGTAATTCCTACACCGTTCACCTGATTTGGATGTAAATACCCTCAAATTAAAGCTGACAGTCTGCAGTTAAAGCACATCTTGTTTGTTTCATTTCAAATCCATTGTGGTGGTGTATAAAGCCAAAAATATTAGAATTGTGTCAACGTCCCAATATTTATGGACCTGACTGTATATAGTCTCCCATTATATTGTAAAACGCTGAGCAAACTGTCGGCGCTATATAAATCCTGTATAATAATAAATATATATATATCCAAATTAAAATGGCTATAATTTTGTGCCAGTAATTCTATCATAAGTGTAACTAAAAGGGGTTTTATTGGGCTCATGCGTGGAGCTGGGAATGGAGAATGCTTGAATCCAAAGCTCTGCAGTGGGGCAGCCGGTTCCAAGTGATACAGGCGACCACATTGCTTCCATCCGATTCCCTAAGGCTCTCTATACCCTGGGGAACATTCTGCATGGTGAAAAGCGAGCAGAAACAACTGCCTACCACCTCCCCAGTGGTGGAGGAGCCGACTCCCATACCAGAAAACATGGCAGCTACATCCCCGCTCAGCCTGCCTGCACACAGCTGCTCTTTACAGATGGGCCAGGAGGAGACAGAACGCTCTGCATCTGACATGGGTGAAACATACTCCTTCCCTACCTTTTCTCCAGAGCCTGTTGATGAGGAATACAGTTGTGTTCAAAATAATAACAGTGTGTATAAAAAAAGTAAAGCTCAAAATCCTCTAATAGCTTTTATTTCCATACACACAAATGTATTGGGAACACTGCACAGTCTATTCCAAATCAAAACATGACGAAAAATGTTTAAAATGTGTTATTACTTTACAGGATGTGAAGAAAAGGGAATTTTAGGCTGTTCAAAAAAGTAGTGTCTGCATTTTTCTTTACAAACTCAAACATTTACTGTATAAACTGAAAAATGTTTGAAAATGTAGCTTTCCTATGAATCACTGAACTAATATTTAGTTGCATAACCACTGAGGACTGCTTCACATCTGTGTTGCATGGAGTTGACCTGGAACCCTGGAACCTGTGAACAAGTATTCCAGCCTAGAACAATGGCACTGCATTCCACAATTCCTCTGTATTTCTTCGTTTTACCTCAGAAACAGCATTTTTTATGTCAACCCACAAGATTTCTATTGAAATAAGGTCTGAGGATTGGGCTGGCCACTCCACAACATTAAACTTGTTGGTCTGGAACCAAGATGCTGCTTGTTTTTACTGGTGTGTTTGGGATTGTTTATCTTGTTGAAACACCCATTTCAAGGGCATTTTCTCTTCAGAATAAGACAACATGTACTCTTCAAGTATTTTGATGTATTCAATCTGATCCATGTTCCATGGTATGTGATAAAAAGGCCCAACACCATAGTATGAGAAACATTGCCATGTCATGATGCCTGTGTCACCATGCTTCACTGTCTTCACAGTGTACTGTGGCTTGAATTCAGTGTTTGGGGCTCGCCTGACAACTGCCTGTGACCCCTAGACTCAGAAAGAACAATCTTGCTTTCATCAGTCCACAAAATGTTGCGCCATTTCTCTTTAGGCCAGTCAATGTGTTCTTTGGAAAATTGTAACTTCTTCAGCATATGTCGTTTTTTAACAGTGCGATTTAGTGGGGGCTTCTTGTCGATAGCTTGGCTTCACATAGGTGTCTTCTAATTGTTACAGTACTCACAGGTAACTTTAGACCTTCTTTGATCAACCTTGAAGTTAATCACTGGCTGGGTCTTTGCCATTTTGGCTATTCTTCAATCCATTCAAATGGTAGTTTTCCGTTTTCCACGTCTTTCTGGTTTTGGTTGCCATTTTAAAGCATTTGAGATCATTTTAGCTGAGCAGTCTCTCAGTTTCTTTACTTCTTTATATGTTTTCCCATCTCCAAACAACTTTTTAATCAAAGTACGCTGTTCTTCTGAACAATGTCTGGAACGAACCATTTTAGAGAGAAATGCACTATACCCAGCATGTACAACATTTGCTGCCTTCGTCCTTAAATAAGAGCCACCTGTTTGACACCTGTTTTTTCACAGACTGAATGACCTCACTAATTGAACTAATTTTGCACTGATATGCAGCACTGATTGCCAGCATCATCAGTGCCTCCTCATCAATGCCAATCAGTGCCACTTCTTCAGTGCAGCCTATCAGTGCCACCTATCAGTACAGCCTCATCAATGCACATCAGTGAAGGAGAAAAATTAGCTGTTTGCAAAATTTTAGAAAGCTGAAATTGGCCTAGGCAGGAAGGGGGTAAAAGTTCCCGGTAGGCAAGTGGTTAGATAGACTAAGGGGTGGAGCCACCCATTGACTTCACAATGTGACCCTGTCCCCTCATCATTGTCATCGACACAGCATGCCCTGGTCACAAGGGGGTGAGTTCACCTGCTGTTTTTTTTTTCATTTTGTTTTGTTTTTAATAAAGGACTTGTCAATAACACTGTTTTTTACTCACTTTTGTTGTGAATGAGTAGAGGTATTACTGTATGTACCCCATACTCATTTAAATGGGGGGGGGGGTGGGATTTGGGGGCTTCCAAATTTTGATAAGTCACCCTCCCGCAGACCCCCACAACCACAGCCCAGGGTTGTGGTGAAGAGGTCCTTGTCCTCATCAACAAAGCACCTTGCCTAAAAGTGTTGACTTATCATTTGTTTGTGTGTGAAAAGATACTTCATATCAAACATGGAGCTCCTCCAGCCCTTCTCCGATTGACCAGGGTGTATTTACTGTATATATGTACTTTTCCTGCAGCAACTAACAGTTCTTTTCCAGAGAGATGCATTTATTCAGATAAAGATATTTGTTACAGATGACAGAAATCCAGCTGAATACGTGTAGATATTACAATGCACAACATCCCTCAAAGTCCCATCAAGCATAGAGATACTACACCATCCAGCATATGTCCGATCTAGAATATGCATGCAATAATGTGAGTTATTATCTATACCTGTGCTCCCATATTAATGACAGGAAAAAGCTCCTCTCCCAATGGAGGTACAGACAAGGCAGATGACAGGATACTTGGAATATTCATGCAATCATTGGAACCCTTCAGAGAACCTTCCTGTGTCCTGTCACACTTAACCAAAAATAAGCTTCCTTAATATACACATTTTTCCCATTCAGTACAATGGCAAGCACTCTGATTGGCCACTTTTAGGAGCCCCTTTGATCTTCTGGGTGACAGGTAATGCCTTTTGTGCTTGGACAGCTGAAGTAAAGTTATCTAGATATTTCCTAAACTGAATTCTTTTACTATTAATTAGATAAACAAGTTACCCTTTGAAGAATGCTATTTACCATACTTAATACCTCTGTTGGCCAACTCCTTTCAAGTCTGATTGAGCTATCTGCATTTTATCACCCTTGCAAATTTTCAAATTACCTACTTTGAAACTTGGCTGCTTTTGTTGTGTAAAATACATCTAGCTCGGTCATATTCTGGCTTGGTCAATAAATTGAGAATACACCACATTATATATATATATATATATATATATATATATATATATATATATATATATTTACACACAATATACTACATATTCCACCACTTGAATCATTTCTTGATGCAGAACTGATTCATAAATAGTGGACATATAATCAACTTGGAGGGTCGCATTGTGATTTGAGGTATTGAATGCTTCAAAATGGAAAATTGAAACCGGTTACATCTCTCTTCTCCAGCCTCTAAAATATCCCTGTTATTCAATAATCTGACTGGAGTGATAACTTTTACTCACCCCTCTTATAATTTTAAGGAAGGCCTCCCAAAGTAATATATTCTCAATTTATTCTGCCCTGTCTGAGCATCAGTGTGCAAATACTCAGACAAGTTATGCAAAGCTATTTTGTAGCATCTCACCTCAGGAGTTACATGTATACAGATGGTACAGGATATACAGGTTTTAAAATGATTATCAGGTTTAAATGCCTCTCTCTGATTTTAAGACAAAGATCCGGAATTAAATTAAGGAGAAAAAAAAATTATGGTAGAGAAAAAAAACCCAATGTAAAGTCCATTGCTTCATAAGTCCATTAGTTTAAAGTCTTTGTAATTAATGTAAGTTGGTATCAACACAACATAGCTTTCCTGTTCTTCACTTGCAAATGAGCATTTCCAGTCACATGTCTCCAACATCTGAAAGACAAAAACTTCTCAAAGGTTCATTAGCCAAATCCTTTCAACCATTTTTCTCTATTTTCATTAAGAGCAAAGAGCATGCAGTATGGTAAACTTATTAAACCTACGTATATTGCTACTTTGACATGATATTAAAAAAAATTGGGGGGCGTGGCCGGCAGCGGATGGAGACGGCTGCTCTGTGAGAGAGCTCCGGGAGCCACCGAAATCCGCGGGGCACAGAAGCGACAGGGAGCAGCTGGTAAACCTGCCAATGTAACAGTAAGCCCTCTGAGTGAGGGGGCACATAGAAGGCTGCATGGGGAAACAAAAGAATAAGGAGGGGTCCCACAAATTAACAGAGTTTTTCACTCCGGCGGGTGGCCCCTCCCCCCTACATGGTGCTGATCGCTGTCCCTCTCCCGAGCTACAGGGACATGTGAGGGGAGATGGTCACAGCTCTCCCCTGCACACATCCAGCCCAGCAATGGCTGCAGGCTCTACACTGTCATCTCCTTCAAACAGCCCACAGAAGCACAGACAACACTGCTCTGCAGATGTGCATTCCCTGAGCGAGCAGCTACACACAGATTCATTGTCACATACTACCAGTGACTTTATTGAACATCTGGAGGATTACCCCGCAGAGTCCTTACCCCTTACTGCAGCAGTGATGAAAGATATGTTGATTATCCTCAAAGGCTCCCTGCATAAAGATATGATGGGCTTTGTGGCGCAAGTTAATAAGGATGTTGAGTGTTTTAGGGGAGCGAGTCTCACATGTGGAAACTAAAATGGGGTAATTTGCTAAAGCTCACAATGAATTAGTTGAAGCACATAATGAGGCAGAAGAAGATGTGAGAGTTTTAACCACCTCCCGCCCATCATATAGTAATATGATGGGCGCAAGGTGGTTCTCTTGTTCTGGGAGGACATCATATGACGTCCTCCCATTCTCACTGCGCATGCGCGGCTCAGGGAGCGCGCAGCGCGGCGATCGGTGGTGCGCTGTGTCCCGCGGACACAGCGGATCACCGATCACGGAAACAGCCAAAAATGTTGGCTCGGTCATGTGATCAGCTGTGTCCAATCACAGCTGATCACATGTAAACAGGGAAATGCCAGTTATCGGCATTTCTCTCCACTTGAGTTGTCACGCTGACAGCTCGAGAGGAGAGGAGAGCCGGTAATCGGCTTTCCGCAGAGGGGACATGTACACTGATCATCAGGGCACTGATGATCAGTGTAGCCCCAGCAGTGCCACCTGACAGTGTCCATCAGTGCCTTATGTCAGTGCTCATCAGTGCCTCGTGCCAGTGCCCATCAGTGCCACATATCAGTGCCTACCAGTGCACATCAATGCCACATATCAGTGCCCATCTGAGCTGCCTTTCAGTGTCACCCATCAGTGCCAGTCAGTGCCGCCTATCAATGCCAATCAGTGCCACCTATCACTGCTGCCAATCAGTGCCACCTATTAGTGCCAGTCAGTGCTGCCTATCAGTGTGCAGCAGTGCCACCTATCAGTGCCTGTCAGTGCCGCCTATCAGTGCCAATCAGTGCTGCCTAACACTGCCAGTCAGTGCTGCCTATCAGTGCCAGTCAGTGCTGCCTATTAGTGCCAGTCAGTGCTGCCTATCAGTGTCATGTATCAGTGCTGCCTTTCAGTGCCCATCAGTGATGCCTGTCAATGCCCATCAGTGCCACCTACCAGTGCCTCCTCATCAGTGCCCATCAGTGCCACCTATCAGTGTCTATCAGTGCAGCCTATCAGCGCCCATCAGTGCAGCCTCATTAGCGCACATCAGAGAAGGAGAAAAATCACTTATTTACAAAATTTTATAACAAAAACTAAGAAATAACATTTTTATTTCAACATTTTCAGTGATTTTTGGTTTGTTTAAGAAAAAATAAAAAACCCAGAGGTGATTAAATACCACCAAAATAAAGCTCTATTTGTCACAAAAAAATTACAGTTGCAAGAAAAAGTATGTGAACCCCTTGGGATTACGTGGAGTTTTGCATGAATTGGGCATAAAATGTGCTCTGAATGTCATCTAAGTCACAACAATAGAAGAACACAGTCTGCTGAACATAATACTACACAAACATTAGACGTTGCCGTGGTTTAATTGCACATAACATGTAAACATTCACAGTGCAGGGAGGAAAAAGTATGTGAACCTTTGGACTTAATAACTGGTTGACCCTCCTTTGGCAGCAATAACCTCAACCAAACGTTTCCTGTAGTTGCAGATCAGACCTGCACAATGACCTGGAGTAATTTTGGACCACTCCTCTTCACAAAACTGTTTCAGTGTAGCAATATTCTTGGGATGTCTGGTTGAATCGCTCTCTTAAGGTCATGCCACAGCATTTCAATCGGGTTGAGGTCAGGACTCTGACTGGGCCACTCTAGAAGGCGTATTCTGTGCTGTTGCAGCCATTGTTTTGTTGAATTACTTGTATGCTTTGGGTCATTGTCCTGTTGCATCACCCATCCTCTGCGGAGCTTCAGTTGGCGGACAGATGGTCGTACGTTTTCCTGCAAAATGTCTTGATAAACTCTGGAATTAATTTTCCCATCAATGACAACAATCCGTCCAGGCCCTGAGGCAGCAAAGCAGCCCCAAACCATGATGCTCCCTCTGCCATGTTTTACAGTGGGGATGAGGTTTGATGTTGTTGTGCTGTGCCTTTTTTTCTCCACACATGGTGTTGTGTGTTCTTCCCAAACAACTCAATCTTGGTTTCATCTGTCCACAGTATATTTTGCCAGTAGTGCTGTGGAATATCCAGGTGCTCTTTTGCAAACTTCAAACGTGCTGCAATATTCTTTTTAGACAGCAATGGCTTCCTCCCTGGTGTCCTCCCCATGTACTCCATTCTTGTTTAATGTTTTCCTTATTGTAGATGTGTCAACAAAAATGTTAGCATGTGCCAGAGATTTCTGTAGGTCTTTAGCTGACACTCTGGGATTCTTCTTTACCTCATGCAGCATTCTGCGCTGTGCTCTTGCAGTCATTTTTACAGGACGACCACGCCTAGGGAGAGTAGCAACAGTGCTAACCTTTCTCCATTTGTAGACAGTCTGTCTTACCGTGGACACATGAACATCAAGGCTTTTAGAGATACTTTTGTAACCCTTTCCAGCTTCATGCAAGTCAACAATTCCTGATCGTAGGTTTTCTGAGAGCTCTTTTCTGCGAGGCATTGTTCACATCAGACAGTGCTTCTTGAAACCAGTAAACCCAAAACAGGTGTGTGTTTTTTTATGGGCAGGACAACTGTCAGCAACACATCCATTATCATCACACTGATTGGAGTCAAGGTTGGCTCACTCCTGGCTCCAATTAGCTCTGGGAGAAGTCATTAAGCTAGGGACTCACATACTTTTTCCTCCCTGCACTGTGAATGTTTACATGTTATGTGCAATTAAACCATGGCAACATCTAATGTTTGTGTAGTATTATGTTCAGCAGACTGTGTTCTTCTATTGTTGTGACTTAGATGACGTTCAGAGCACATTTTATGCCCAATTCATGCAAAACTCCACGTAATCCCAAGGGGTTCACATACTTTTTCTTGCAACTGTATAAGAATTTTATATGGGTACAGTGTTGCATGACTGCGCAATTGTCATTCAAAGTGCGACTGCGCTGAAACCTGGAAATTGGCCTGGGCAGGAAAGGGGTATAAGTGCCCTGTAGGCTAGCAGTTAAAGGTAAATTAGCGGATCTGAAGGACCACTCCCGCAGGAACAATGTGAAATTCAGGTGCATTGGCGAAAATATACCTGCTGCGGAACTCCGCAAATATATCCAACAAATGATCTCTGCACTGCTACCACACACTCCGAATAGGGAAGTAGTGTTAGATAGGGCCCATAGACTGCCAAAACCCTAATTTCTCCCTGATCACATTCCTAGAGATACAATAGCAAGAATTCACTTTTATCACGTCAAGGAGGAATTAATGCTATTTGCTCGGAAAAATACTCCACTTCCTGCCCCCTGCACTGGAATATCTTTATTCGCCGATCTTTCACAACATACCTTATTAGCCCGCAAAAAATTGCTCTCCTTCACGAAACTGCTACACAACAACGACATCAAGTATCAGTGGGGTTTCCCTACCAAATTGCTTATCAATAAAGATAACCGTGTGATCACGGTCAACTCTGAAGAAGAGGGATTCCAGTTTGCCAAAAAATGGGGCCTCCTACCAACAGATGAAACACCGGCGCCATCTAAGGCTTCACCCAGGAAAATAATCCCTGACTGGGAACAAGTAGCAGGATGACACGCTACTTCTCCATGCCTCCTAATTATTTGTTGCATACCCGCTGTGCACTTGGACTGAAATTTAATGAGCTGAGTTTCTCGGCTCTGAACCCCCTACCCATCATAGTGATTAATTTCACACAAAGTTTCACGCTAAATGTTATTTTTGCCTTTTTACTAGTCTTTCTCTCCCTTTTCCTATCCCTGTTTTCACAGAGTACCCTGACCAGCAAGTTATGGGATAACCATACATTGACTTCCCTTCACTCTGAGTGGAAGACAACTTTTTCATTTCGCTGGAATACTTTGGTCCGTGTAAGCTTACCCATTTGGTTTTTCTACGCTTCTATGCATTTCCTATTTACACCACATGAGGGCAACCTTTCATCATTTTCTCTAAAATGTCCATGGTCTTGAAAATAATTTCCATGAACGCCCATGGCCTTAATAGCCCGTTTAAACACCACTCTATGTGGAAAGAAGCACAACGGTTGGCTGGAGATGTGGTTTGTGTCCAGGAAACTTTTTTGCATTCACTAAAGCGCCACTCTGCTCACACCATTTGTTTCCACATATTTTTATGTCCAACGGCCCTGATAAAAATGTGGTGTTCTTATAGCAGTTAGCAATTCTGTCGCATTCCCGCTGTTAGCCCAAGTGTCTGATATCAAAGGTAGATACCTGATCATTGTGTGCGAAATGAATAATATCACCTACACAATAGTCAACCTCTATGCTCCCAATGTGCACCAGATCCACTTTCTCAACTGTCTACGGAAAAAAGTGGCTAAAATCTAGAAGGGCTTCCTTTTATTCTGTGGAGACTTCAATACTATTATAAATAACTCCTTAGATGTTTCACATCCCTCTCGCAGCTTGAGACACTCTTTAGCTACTGTGCTTTCTGAAGCCAATCTGTATGATCCCTGGAGATGTCTACATGCATCTGAAAGAGACTATACGCATTACTCTGCACCACACAAATATTACTCAAGAATATACCTTTTCTTGACGGATATTCAACTACTACAAAATGTCTCCAAGGCCGAAATCCACCCTATGACGGGGGGGGGGGGGGGGGACGCGGTCAGATCATGCACCTATTTCACTATGCATTGAGGAGTCATTAAAATTTTCCCCGGTGTTTTTATGGCGTAATGACATATATATGTATTATAATCTTGCTTATCGTTCCACTCTTACTGCAGCCTTACAAGAATATTTTGATATTAATTCTGTAGCAATCATGCACACAGAGCCAGACGAGGCCCTCCATTTTGTTAAGAATTCTCCATGTTGTCCCATCATCTCTCCTCCCTCTCTGTTCATCCACAGTGACATGTGGTCAGTGTGTGTTGGCAGAGGTCACAGGCAGCCAAAGCACAGCAGGAAGCTCCGAGCTATAAAACCCCCAAGGGAGCTGGGTGCCTGGCTGTCTAAGAAACTGTGCAATCTGGCATATCGTAAAAGTATAACCCAAGCCTTTCCCTGAGTTCAAAGACATTCCAGAGGAGTAATAAACTAGATACCACATTCAAAATCCATTTTCCCCCTATGTCTCATATCTTGGAATATGAGAGACTACATAAAACCAGGCATATCTTCACATTGGTCACGATAAGACAAACCATTTGATATGTCACACTCCTTAACTGGCATACATAGAAAAGCAGGAAAGCATATCTCCTGAACCATTCAAGTGCATATTTCATGTTTCATCTCTAACCATTTTGCAGATGCGGCTGAGTATTAATATACTAGTGCCCAGACCGGCAAATGTACCTAGAAAAAGTTATGAGCCAAAATATAAGCTAGAGATTCTGGTTGTAACTTAGGTCTCCACCCAACACCCCTCCCCAAAAGGAGACCATTGGTTACTACTCCAAGGAGACACCCTGCTGGGATTTGCTAGAAAAAGGCTGTTATGCTTGGAGTATGTGTGTGAGAGAAGAGAAGAGTCTCCTGCGTTTAACATCGAAACTAGCAGCAGAGACAAGAAATCCTTTTAACTTATGACACTTGAAGCTGCTTAACCCAAGGCGGACTGGCAAGTACTTTAACCCTCTAAATTCCTTTCTGTTATCTCTTTGCTGTGTTATTGCTCTCTGTATATTTATATATTTATTGGCTACATTTTTTTTCTGTAAATATTTTTATTGCACCCTTTTGACCTTTTAGTAATAAATCTTACTTTCTGAAAGTGTTGAACTGTTTCTAAAGCTCTTTAATGCAACTTACGAATTCCTGCCGCTGAAGAGCGCTACTATGTGTGTTTAACCCTCTGTTTAACCTGTCTGCGGTGACAGTGGTATACAGACGATTATTTCAACCATCCTAGTGTTATTG